TACACAGTTGGAAAATTTGTGTTTTCTTGTTAAAAGAAATGCCCGTTAAAATTTTTGTGTTAAATGGTTAACACATTCATGTGTTAATTTAACAGATTGCTCTTATGTTAATTGACCTTCCATGTAAAATTATTAAAATAACTGAAAAGAAATGTTAAAACAACACAATGTGTACTTATTTTGTAATCTTACACAATACATATGTTCTATATTATTAGTAACAAGATTTATCTGTTAAAATTTACAGAATGAAATGTTGATTTTATTCTATATAACATAAGAGAGTGATCTCGGACCATTTGGCTTATTACATCTGGGCCTGGATAGATCAGTTGGAAGAGCACTCGCCTGGCAAGCTGAAAGTCCTAGGTTCGAATCCTAGCCCGTTACTTTTCTCGCCGAAAAATAAGTGGCGTGTCTTATTGTTAGTGCCTACCTCCCCGAAGATACATTCCTATTTATTATGAAATGTAAAAATTACATTTTTTAAATTCATTTTGTCATTAAAAATATGTTAAGTTTACACAAAATTTATGTTAAATGATTTTGAGATTTGCATTTATTTTGTGTTAAAATATTAACAGACTATTAGTGTGATCCTTTAACATATTCATATTATGTTAAATTAACACAAAAATTTGTGTGGACCGTTTGGGACATGTGATATCTGTTAAATTTAACACAAATTTTTCAACTGTGCAACGTCAATTTAATATAAAAATAAAAAGTAATTTATCACTCACTGATACGATTCGCAACAGCACAGTTGAACACAGAACAGATGCTTTATTTTGCACAAGTAGCAAATAACATAAAAATGTAAGACACTCACCTCACCCTTTCTCCGCTGTTGCACGATGCCCCTGGGACTCCTCCTCCTCTCAGATTTCCTTGTTGCACTCACACAACTCACACTCACTCGTGAAAATAATCGATCGCGCGAAATTTCGGGCACTCCCGTACGCGATGTGAGATACCGCGAAACGCACGAAATATTACCAACAACTTGTATTTTTGATTCGGAAGAATAGGAAATGGATAAATCACTATTGAATTGACGATATAAAACGCAACGCGAGCATCGGAAGCATAATCCGCGGTAAAGAAGTAGTTATTAGTCAGCAACGAAACGATATTTTACAATCTTAGTCCTTCAATCTAATCCTCGAAATACATTATGTGAGCAAAGTTTCCAGCGATAAATGATGCTATTAATTGCAACAGTTAATCGAGACCGAAAATAGAACAGATTACACGAAATCGATAGATAATTAAAAGCACGGTGCGTAAACGAGATGTATAAACCGCGACAAAGTACCACGGTTTACATTCATATTTTAGATGAATTAGTCTCGTGAAATATCTATGTACACGTCGATAAAGAGCCGTCGCCTCAACAATTCGTTTTTCATTACAAGTTGTAGAAACTTGATAATTAATCGAGGAACGTTACTTGTTACTAATAAAGGTGTGCAAATCAATAGCGTTTTATCCCTGCATTCATCGCGATCGAGTCTTGGAAACCGATAACGCAAAAGTAATACGACGCACGGAACGACTCTCGCTGCTGCCTGCCGGCTCGACGTTCGGCGAGCGAGTGATAGCGCGGCGACCTTGAGGTAAACATTGGCCCGCATAACGTCGCACGATACAGCGCCGAGTGAAAAACAACAAAAAAACGTTGAGAATTCGTTGTCCCTCTACGAAATGGAAAATTCCGTACTTAATATTTTACATTACTTGGTTCCCTGACTGTTACTGCGTTTTGTGTATCATTCTGCGGACTTATTGGTATTGATTAAATTAACGACTAACTCTGTTCAATCGAGAAAATGTTTCGAAACAAAAATCGTTGTTACTTAAATTCTAATTACTAAGATTAGTGATTTTACCTCAATAGTTGGTGTATACAAATGTATATTTCTAAATTGCAAATCTTTATTTACTATGAATCTAAAAGAGAAGTGAAGCACACCGCGCTTCGAGAAAACATATATTATGCACACATTATATTGCTATGTTGCTGTAATATTACATTGTAATATTTCTGAAGGCGGACATTTTAATTTTAAAGTTACTTTTA